GCAAAACTATTATAATTATTATTATTATTGTTATTATAACCAAAAAGAAACACTTAGGTATACTATATACATGTAGATAGAACAGATGTAAAATACGGAAGAACAGAAATTGATTACTAAATAATTTCTCTTACTTCATTTTCATCAGTGACATTGACATTAGCTCCTTTCTTCAGTAGCAGTTCAACTATTTTTGTATGTCCTCGTATACATGCCATAGCAAGTGGTGTACGCTAGCATGAATAAATAACATTAAAATTAATGATAAATATCAATAATATTTGAGTAATTTATAGAATTATACAAAATGGAAAATTTGGAAAATTTGGATGCTGTCTAGATTCCTATTCCAGTTGTATTCACATTAATTTAGTACATCTCATTGTTATGCAAAACCTATACCATTATTTGAGATACATGTATACCAAATTTATGGTAATAATAATAATATATATTAACAAATCATCATGTTTGAGCTAGCTACTCATTGTTTGACTCTCATGATCTTTATTCTCAAACATTTTATTTCACGTAATATCTTGTAATGCATGGAACAGATGTTGCATAGTATGTTGCAGGCCTCCATATTTATTCTTTTATTATAATAATAGTAATAATAGTAGTAATACCGTATAGTGGGAAATTTTGGAGGGAATTAAATTTGGCGAATTTGGCGTTTTGATAGCCATTTGCCAAAATTAAACCCGCCATTTTGAGCCATTATGCGCATGCTCAATGGCACGTAGCCACCAATTTGCCAAATTAAAATCCACCAATCACCAAAATTTAGCAATTCGCCAACTTTTAGTCCCTCCAAAATTTTCCGCTATACGGTAGTAGTAAATTATTTATTTAGTTAATGTAAAACTGTAAATGATAAATGATGATGTGGTATGTAATGGAAAAGTCAAGTGTAACAGAAATTAATTGGGCCCTACTGATTAAGTAGTTTATCAGGTACATTGTTAGGGATATAGAGTCTGTTAATATTACATTTTTATAGTACTAGAAGAAGATTGGAAAAGCCCCAAAATCACAA